CCCCTTCCGGGTCCCAAAAAACCCTGATAGCATCACTTTTCCTCTTGATAGTTGCACCTTTGCCTTCTTTGGTGTTGGAGATGAGGGCGATTTACACTGCATTCATGCCGATTTTGACTCAGGATTGTCCTGGTAGATCCATGTCTTTCAAAATATCTAGTTTTATGCTTTTCATACTGACCAAGCAATTTTTGACAACAATCAACACGTTGATTTGAGGAGTCAACAAACCTAGGACCCATCTTGCAAAAACATTGGGCATATTCCAATGTTCATTCAAGATTCGTTCAACTGACACAAAGCTAAGCCTAGTTTCTTTGCGCAAACGTTCGCCTGTCACCCGCCTATCAGACAATACAAGTTTCTTGATTTCCAACACATTCTCATCTGTTGTTGCTGTCACTGGGCGACCATCACGGTGGTCATCTTCAATGTCCAGGAATCTGCGCTTGAATTTTTTAACCCCAAAATTTATCACAGCATAGGATGGGCAATTCATGATTCCTGTTCTCCTTCGTTGAAATGAACTACCTTACTTCTTTTTCTTTAGGTGTCAACTTTGTCTCTCTATCAGACCTGGAATGAAAGAATTGTTCCCTTTTATTTGGTTTGGATTTGTGTGTGAGTGTGTGTGTGTGGGGGGGGGCTAGGTGAAGAGGACAACTTTGTTTTGTAAGACCGGCATGGCGAATGGGCCCGGTTATATATTCGTACTTCATGTATGTTCTTTGACTTATTGTTCTTTTGTTTACTCAGTTGTGAATTTTAATGTGTTCACTCCGTTAGTGTATTTGTCAATAACTAGACGAACCACACAGAGGGACAACTAGATTACACCGTTATATTGGGGGATCAAGGGTCACACAATCATATCGTCGGCCTGGAGATAAAACCGACTAACCCACAAAATATCAAAACATTTTTTATTGGCCCTATCGATAGTAAATTATCCATTTCATATGCTCACTCAAAGACAGATCTGAATTTTGTCTAGAAATGTCTTTAAAACATTAGAAATAAAACCGTATAACCCGGCACCCATCGGATTTTAGCCCGATAATTCCGACTATCCCACCTGCGAGGGACGGAATGAGGGTAGGCTGTTTTTATCGCGCTAACAATGAGGGGCCACTTGCTACGTTACCGACTAACCCCGGCTTTGACTCCTCTCCGGACTTCGTTTGAAATCAGATTCAGACCTGTAAAAGTCCAGAATTTACTCACATAACCGTGGGAGCTCTCCAAAAATGAATATTTGTGTAATATTTCTTGTTGGTTTCATTGGGGAGTTATATAGATCTGGTTGTTTCCTCTTTTTTCTTCGTTTTAATGCTGCTGATAATGTTCTTAATGACTAAAACTCCCCACTGTTCCCACAGAACTGTTTATCTCGTGACAATTTCGGTATTTGAAATGCATCTTTATGGATTTTGCTTTATATGAAACTATGTTTTCTGTCCGCGTGTTTTTCTTTGTCTTTGTACTCGAAATTCACCGATTGTGAAGGCATTTTCCCCTATTCGGACTACTGTCTCTTCTCCTAATCATTTTTCCCTCACAATTGAATGGACGAAGTAGATAGCATTTCCTCCTTTACTAACTCACTCAAAAAAATAATAATTGTGGGACCTGTCCAGAACACCGTCTGCCCCCAACGATCGTTGTTTTTTAAAGCGCTTTTTCTTTTTTTTCATTTGCTCTGTTTATTGCAGTCCTTACCTTCTGAAACATCGTTCGACTTTCTTTGAATGTTCATTTCGTTTGTGTTTTGAGTAGATTATTTTCTCAGTGTCATAACCTAATGCTTTATCTTTATATCAAACCTTAGCTTACATAACGCTATAACATTTAATAAGATGATGCCACTCTTGCTGCGACACCTCTTACCCTCAGCGCAGTGGAAAGTGATCAACGTGACCAGGCTAATGTCACATCAGCTGATAATACAACAGTTATGTCACCTTTGATCTCTGCCAAAAGGACACGGCATGAAAACGATTGGAAGGGTAACAAAAGGAAGAGGTTGAAAGAACTGGCGATGCCTCTACTCATGTCAAGGCACGAAGCGAGCAGCATGTGAACTTGACGTCCTTTGCAGTTGTAAACTGGTTGGTACAAAATGCAATGACATCACTAGTCACTCTCTTGGAAAGAAAAGAGAGCCTACGTATATGCCACGATAAACATGATAGACAAAAAGAGATCTTACACAGCAAGGGAAAACCCAAGGAGAAATTACAGCCTTCAATACCACTTACAAGAGTCAATGGTCAAAGAACACATGTTTGTAAAACAATCTTCAAGAACTTCTCCGAAAACAAACAAACAAGAGGTCCATCTCCTAGAACACATCGCGCCCACCATGAGAGAACCAAGGATGACAAGTTGTTCCATAAAGAGGAATATTTTGAAAAACTACTGTCTACAGATGACAATCCAGAAAAATCAGATCTGCATCAAGTATACATGGAGAACTTTGCAGAGAGAGTGAAAGCCACATTGAGCTATCAAGTGTTCTGCCAAATGTTCATGAAAAACAATTTGGGTTCACTTTCAACCAAAAAAGACCAGTGCGACATTTGTACAAATTTCAAATCTGGAAACCTCACAGAAACAGAACACACAGCTCAAATACGAATATGAGGAAAGCTGTAGCTAAACCAGAGAAGGAGACGGACAGGAAGGCTGTGTGTGTCCTTTGTATGGAGATCCAGTGCGTCCTTCTGGCCCCATCCCTAAAGACTTCCACCTTATATAAAACAAAACTGGCTGTACACAATGTTACGACTTAGGATCTTGCCCCCAGAGACGCCAGATGATATGTGTGGAATGAAAGTGAAGTTGGTCTGGGCTTCAACAGTTTTTATCATGTCTGACTCACTAACTGATATTGCAAGTGACTGACTTCAACCACTTCATCATCTGCAGTGATTGGCGCAACTACTAAAACAGAAAGCAACCCTGGTGAGTGCAATGGCCTCGCTGGCCAAAGAGCTTGACATCACAGTTGAGCAAAAATTCTCCCCAAGGGCCATACCCAAATGGAAGTGGATTCAGTCCATGGCACT